TCTCTCTCTCTCTCTCTCTCTCTCTCTCAGGACCTCACACGTGCTAGGCGAGCACTCTACTCTGAGCCACAACCTCAGCCCCCACTAATGCTTTTCTTTTTTTTAATTAATTTTTAAATTTATATATGACAGCAGAATGCATTACAATTCTTATTACACATATAGAGCACAATTTTTCATATCTCTGGTTGTGTACAAAGTATACACCAATTYGTGTCTTCATTCATGTACTTTGGATAATGATGTCCATCACATTCCACCATCATGGTTTTCTGAAACCCATTTAATCCTCTTAACATGGAAGATCAATGAAGTCCAACAGCAAAGGAGGGGCAGGGATTAGTTCCAGGGCTGGTCCCTCCCAGGCTAGGCCTCTGACCACTGTGGCATTCTGCCTCCCGTTCTCTGACCCTCGCCTCGCTCTTCCTTTTTCCCAGTCTTTTGCCCAAGGCTTTATCTTCTTCCAACTCATCCTCAGTAATCAAGGATTCCATTGGCTTTGTCCAAGGAACCACGGCTTTGCTCAGGGGCCCAAGTTTCTTAAGGATCCTTAGAAGCATCACCGTTCCTGAGAACCCATTTCTGACACTTAACTGAAAGTGTCAAAACACATTTAACAACCGTTTTTTTTTTCTTTCTTATTTCTTTTCCTTGTAGTGCTGGGGACAGAACCCAGGGTCTTGCACATGCTAGGCAAGCCCTACCTCTGAGCTATATCCCCAGCTCCTGCTTAACATTTGCTCGCTACTACCCATTATGCACCAGGCCCAGCAGGAAACCCTGGAGGCCAAAGATGACTAAGATCCAGCCCAGGCCACCAGAGAGCTCATGGTCCAGCAAATCAGGGGCGGTGGGGGAAATGAGAACTGTAGTGCCTTCACATTTACACAGCACGGGAGAGTCACACACCTGTCATCTGACCTCAACCCAGCCATTCATTTGGCAGGGAAGACGGGGGAGGCAGGTGGCATCAGGGACCATTTTCCAGACGAAGATCCAAAGTCCTCTAGAGAGGAAGTGACACCTCCAAGGCCACAGGCCAGCCTGGGGTTGAGTGGTACTGGAAGCCCCACCGCCCCAGAACTGGCAGGGTCTCAGAGACTCTGTCTTCCTCTGTCCTGGGTGGTCTGCCTCCCTTCTCTTTGGCTAGTGCCCTTTCTGGCTCTCCACTCCCTTAGGGACATATCCACGCCCCCAGGGCTATAAGAGCTGGGACTACTCGGAACTGGATCCAGAGAGATTCCGGAGAGAAGAATTAATTTTACAGAGAAAACGACTGGCAAAGGGTAAGATACCAGTTATGGGTCCCTCTGCCACACCCAGTACCATTTATGGAGACAGAGGGAGTCAGAACATTGATGTCCCCAGGCCAGATTCTCTCTTAGGGACTCTCAAACCAACTGAAATGTCAGTGCCTATGAGCTGCGGTTAGAGTTCATGCAGCACATTTGTGGGCTGGGAGGAAAGGGTTTGATTTTCAAATAGCAGATTCCTGTGAACGGGTGTCCACGGTAGGCCGGCACTGTGCCGGGCGTGCTCTCTGTTTTATTTCATCCTCTTGACAACTGCTGCCACACTATCCACCTCACACCACAGTCAGGAAACTGGAATTCAAGGAGCACCTTGCCCCAGGTCACTTGTTTTTATTTCACTCAACAGTCACATCACAGGCCCTGTGCTAACCACCAAGGGGCACAGTGGTGGAGGCAAGCCAGGGCCCTGTCACCATCCATAATGTAATCATGGCACAGTGGCTTGGGCACTGTAATGAGGGGCACAGGATGCAGAGGCAGCACCCAGAGGCACGCCCAGACAGCCCCCCATGGTCAACAAATGCTCCTGACTGAGATCTGAGGGTCTCAGGCAGGGGAAGGGGAGGACTCGTGTGGTAGGAGGACCAGCAGCAACRTCTCAGGATACAGAGTGAGTCAGATTTGCTGCATTGTCCAAGTCCCCAGTGCAGCTGGGGTAGCCCAACCTGGGCACAGGGAAGAGAAAACTGCAACCCTCAGCACGGAGCAGGGCACAGCTGTTGTCTGGAGAAGCTGGCACGGCCACCACTTATTCAAGCTAGACACACTCATCCGTCAACTTTCTGAGCCTTCACAATTACTTACCCACTTAGCAGACAGGCTTCCCAGGGGGCTTCCTGCCTCTTCTTTCCCAGCAGTCCCCAGGGCAGACCTACAGCCTGGCCATCACCTGACTTTTCTGCATACTCATTCACAGATATTTTTCTTTTTTTTTTTTTAAACACATTAGTTGTAGTTGGACTCAATATCTTTATTTATTTATTCCTATGTAGTGCTGAGGATCGAACCCAGGGCCTTGACTGTGCTAGGCAAGTGCTCTACCGCTGAGCCACCACCCCAGCCCCAGGGATATTTTTCAATGTGGAAAAAAAAAAAAAAAAAAACCCTAATTTTAATTGTCTTCATTTAAAAAAATTCCAGTGTTGCCTATATTCAAATTTAATGACATTTTAATGAATATTAAGTTTAACAGGTTATGGGCTTAATAGTTGTTTGTCATTTTTTGTGGTATTGGGGGTGGAACCCCAGGGCCTAAGCACGCACTCTTCTGCTGAGCTACAGCCCTAGATTTTCTTTTATAAGGAAATTCATTCATTTCACCCCACACTTACTCATTGTGATTTTATAGGGTTCCAGGTTGTTTTTCTTTGGGAACCAGTCCTTTTTTTTTTTTCCCCATGAGAGTTGCATGCTTGCCTGCACACCGCAATCTCCAATCCCCGGATGATATTGCCTTTAATTAGCTGGACAGCCCTTCATGATAGACAGTATTCAAGCTCAGGATCTGAGAGGTGAGGTGACTTGCTGAGGTCACTCAGCAGGTGGAAGGCACAGAGAGGCTCCAGATTACCTGAGACTGTGCTCAGGGGAGGGTTTGGTGGGGGTGGCTTGTGGAGTCCCTGGTGGCAGGAAGGGACTGTCTCCAAACTCCTGACTTCAATCTTGGCATCCCATGGCCAGAAGGGACTAAAGAACAGCTTCTTTCCTTCCTTAGGAAGATATTTCTCTTTCTTCACTCCTAAGAAGAYGTTCCAGGGCAGGAGATCCCACCGCCCTCAGGTAAAGGGGGAGGCCTAGACTGCGACCCCTGGAAGCTCCAAGCTGCAGACACCTTGGATCCTCTAGCGCATCAGTGGCCTCTTGTCAACAGCACATCTCTGTGYCCCTGCCCTGGTTCTACCTCATCTTTTCAGTGAGGGGTCCTGTAGGCCGCAATGGCCCGTGGATGAGTGGAGCACTGAGGGGCYACCMCAGAAGCAYAGCAGCAGGCCAAGCACAGTGACRCACGCCTGCGATCCAGCTGCTCAGGAGGCTGAGGCAGGAGGATCGCAGGTTTGAGGCCAGCCTGGGCAACTTAGCAAGACCCCGTCTCAAAAAAAAAGGACTGGGGTGTAGCTCATTGGTAGAGTGTCCCTGGGTTCAATCCCCAGGAGCACAAAAAATAAAGTTAGATAAATAAAAAAAGAAGAAGAAAGAAGGGAAGGCAGTCAGCAGTGGGGGAGCAGCAGCCCAGCCTTCTGCCCCGGCTGCCATGCCAGGGGCTTCCTGCCTCTTCTTCCCCAGCAGTCCCCAGGGCAGACCTAGAGCCTGGCCATCACCTTGACCCCTGCTCTTCCTCTGCCCTTCCTCAGTGTCCCTCCTATAGGTGCTGTATTCTCGCCTTTTCAGTCCTGCCCCCCTGCTCACTGTATCTCCTGTGGCAGCTGCCCTGTCCCCCCACCCTGAACGCCTCCTTACAGCCCAAAAAAAACACCTGTCACACCGAGGAAGCGTCCTCTCRCTGTTGGTGGGGACTTTCCTGCAAGGTCTTGTCTGGGCTGGTCCAACCCATCTGTACCCACGGGCTCTAGGGGCTTCTGCCACRGGCCTCTTCCAGTTCCTGTGGGCACTCCACTCTCTGCCCAAACGCGGCCTGGATCATGCTGGTGTCCCGGGTGAGTTACCATCTCACCTGCCCTTGTTAGCGTTTTTCCTAGAAAAGTCACATGGGTAGCATGCGATTAATCAAATGCCACAAATCATAGCTTTTTTTTTTTTTTTTTTTTTTTTCTGGAGAGCTGGAAAAAACAAATGTCCAAGGCTTAGTCTGATGAGATGAATGAAGCCTTTCCCTGCTTTTGTAAACAGAATTATTGTATACTGCCAAGCCCACTTATTTACTATCTCTGTGCTGAAATGGCAGAGTTGAATATAGTGATTATTGAGAACCTGYGACTGGCAGAGATAAATATTATTATCTGTCTTTTTTTTTCTTAGAAGAAAAAAATTTGCTAATTCCAGGTCTTTCTTTCATCTTCTTATTCTCCTCCTCCTTTCTCTTTTTCTTTTGTTTTTGAAACCAGAGGCAATCTATCACTGTACCTCATCCCCAGCCATTTCTATTTTATTTTGAGACAGGGTCTCACTAAGTTGCCTAGTTTGGCCTCAAACTTGCAATCCTCCTGCCTYAGCCTCCCAAGTCGCTGGGATTACATGTGCCCCTGTGCCTGACCCCACCCCAGGACTTCTTAAAAGACTTATCTGTCCCCACATCTCYTTTCCCCACCTTGCAAGTGTGCCTCCAATTGGGGCCCTAACCACACTGGCCATTGGGCCACTCTTGCCACCTGGAGGGCCAGTCCTACAGAGGGTTTCACAGGACAGGGCATGCCCACTGTCTTTTTTTTTTTAATTACATTTTTAAATTAACACATAATTGTCGTACATATCAGTGAAGTACAGTGATGTATTAACACCTGCATACAGGGTTCTCACATCCGTGCGATCAGCATTTCTGTTTCCTTATTATTTCTCTAGTGTGGAGCCTTCGAGTCCCTCTCTTCCAGATCTTCAGGAAATGGGCTCTTGTGAACGACCCCACTGTGCTGCACGATGCCTTCCTTCTAACTCTCCTGCTACCAGTTATCCAACCTCTGTCCCACTGCCTGGCCTTGCCTGGCCTCTAGGAATCACTCTCCTGCATTCAGATGGACCTTTCTTTTCTTTTCTTTCTTTCTTTCTTTACTTTTTTTTTTTTTTTTTTGCTCCCACATGTAAGGGAGAACCTGCTTTTCTTTCTTTTTCTGGCTTCTTTCCCTTGTGTATCCAGTTCCATCCATTTATCCAACCTCTGTCCCACTGCCTGGCCTTGCCTGGCCTCTAGGAATCACTCTCCTGCATTCAGATGGACCTTTCTTTTCTTTTCTTTCTTTACTTTTTTTTTTTTTTTTTTTTTTTTTAGCTCCCACATGTAAGGGAGAACCTGCTTTTCTTTCTTTTTCTGGCTTCTTTCCCTTGTGTATCCAGTTCCATCCATTTTGCTGCAAATGACAGGATTCCATTCCTCTTCCTGGCTGAATGGTACTGCCGTGTTGTACACATCCTGTTTTCTTACCCACTTGTCCCTAGATGGCCACCTAGGTTGATTYCATGTCTCAGCTATTGGGGATAGTGTTTCAAGAAACCCGGGAGGGTGGGCACCTCTTTGATGTCCAGATTTTGCTTCCGTAGGTTATGTACCCAGAAGTGGGGTGGCTGGATCATATGGTAGATCCAGTTTTAGTTTCTTGTCTTTTCTTTTTGTGGTACCGGAGCTTGAACCCAGATCACTCTTTCTCTCTGAGCTACATCCCCAGCCTTGTTTTTACTTTTTTAAAGACCCCCTCCCCCACCTATTGTTTTCCACAGTGGTTGGACCAGTGCTGTCCCTTGTTCTCCTGGTCACGTGGCTCAGCAGTCCTGAACGTGCATAAGGCCTGGGTTTGATCCCCAGAAATGTAAAAAAAAGTTTCTTGATTTCTTGATTCTGTGTTGTCACACAGTTGCCAGACCTTCCTTTGTCGCTCGCTGCCCATTCTCAGTCATCTCTGGTGGCTCCCTATCCTGCTGATCCAATCTGTCCTGGGTCCCCTTCCCTGCTGTATTGATTTGTTCTCCCTTAGTGACCTCAGAAGGTTTGGTGGCTTCAAACGCTATCCATATGCTAGTTCCCCCCAGACCTTCCCCTCCCTGGCCTCTCTCAGAACTCTCTGTGGGCTCTCAGCTGCCCTCGGCCTCACCAGGGTGCCTCACATCTCCCTGCTGGCTCTAGGAGCCGCCACCTGGGCTCCTTTTATCTGTAGCCCCAGCCTAGTGTCCACACAGGAACCAGAAGGACTTTTGCAGACAGACATTAGGCGGGGCCATTCCGTGCTTAAAACCTCCAACAGCTTCTCGTTGCCCTTGAAAGAAGGTCTGGTCTCGTTCCACGGCGTGAAATGCCCTGCAGAACCGGCCACCATGGCCTTCCCTCCCTTGATACCTGACCATCAGCCCACTGGATGTCCCTGTGCCCCTTGGACACCCAGACATATGCCCAGTGGGCCTTCGTGCTCCTTGTCATCTTTTCTGGAAGGTGCTTTCCTCTGGCTTCTGAGGGATGTCTGGYTCCTCCTGTGCTTCAGACTCCAGCTCCACTGCCCAGGCTGCCCCGAMGCCCTGCCCCTCACCGCCCCTCAGCCCACTCCCTTCCTCTGTCCCGTGCTTGTCCTCTTCCACACGTCCAAGGGTTCAGGTATTGTTTAGGACGCCCACACCTTAAAACATAGATACGCAGGCTCTCCGTGTCCTCCGTCTCCTCGCCTTGTGGTCTCTGAGGACAGGCCCAGCACAGAGGGCACCAAGCAAAGCTTTATGGCCTTCATGAATGAGGTCATATACTCACCTGCGAAGCTCTTGGCTGCGCTTAGCATGTGATGGGGCTCTACAAATGTCAGCTCCCAAAAGTACAGACGGAACAGGTGCTGTGGAGGGACACTTGTCACTCAGAGACCAAGATCAAAATATTCTTCAGTGTTTGGGTGCTGCCTGTCACAACTGCCAGAAACAAATGCATTGCTTTGTACTGAGATATGTAAAGCCTTCTGACGGTTATTTCAGCAGCTCAGTGAAGAGATTCAATTTTCTGCCCCCAGAAACACAAAAGATAGAACACTCTGGAACCTTGAAAACAGCTGAAGCTTTAGTGGCCAACCAGGATGGAGGGGGTGGCTCCTGTGGGAGGCAGAGCCTCTCTGAAGGGGAACTTGGAACTGCCCTGAGGCAGAGGAAACTCTCACTCACTGTCCTGTCTGCTCAGTGGAGCAGCTGGTGGTGTTCAAAATATGCTTTTCAGTGTCCACAGACAGTCTAAGGGTTCATAATTCAGAGGTGTGTGTTCCAATTTCTCTAGGACTGACCTGCGGTCTGCCCTTGGAGTGTTGGGGATTTGCCAGGAGTGAGAAATTATCTGCCAATCTGGCTCCTTCCGTGAGGCTCAGCTGTAAATGAGGGCTCCTACCTGTTGGAGACTGAGTCATTCAATTGTTTAGTGAATCTTAGAGAAGGCAGTGAAAAGTGGGTGGTCTCAGTAAGGAGGAATCAGGGGTATAGGGGTTCTAAGGGGTTCTAATACCCCTCAGGAAGTGCTTGCTACTCCTGAACTATTCAAATTGGTAGGAAAATAGGTTTTATTCAAGGTCAACTTTGAAGGAAGATGGAAGAAACTTAATTATTTCAAAAGTTCCCTCTTCACAATCCTGGAAGGTGAGCAGGATCTTAGAGAAGAGGCAGGGCAGGAAGTGAGACAAGAGGCAGGAGATGCACGTATGCAGGTTTAGTTAGTCCTGCTGCGCGGGCCCCAGCAGGCAGCTCAGCTCCCAGCTGCTTTGGCGCCTTGTCTGCAGCAGAGGAAGGGTGAAGAGCCTCCGTGTTCTCATCGGCAAACTGAGCCCCACAACTGGTATCACCTCTTACAGATTCTATCTAGGGATAAATAACATCCCATAAATTGTTGTGTAGTCATGTCCTGTGAGAATGTCTCTTGATTCCACCCCCACCCGGGATGGGGACTGAATCCAGGGGTGCTTTACCATTGAGCCACATCCCCAGCCCTTTTTATTTTTTATTTTGAGACAGGGTCTCACTAAGTTACTGAGGCTGACCTTGAACTTGCAATCCTCCTGCCTCAGCCTTCTGAATTGCTGGGATCACAGGCCTGCACCACTGTGCCCATCTTGTTTTAGAATTTTAACCAGAATTTTCCCAAGTTCCAGAGCGTGATCATTAACAATAATGATCTAAATTCCTCCAGCTCCTTCTCATACCTGCTAGCCCTGGCTCTGTGCAGCCCACTCCTTTCCCTGGCGCCTGTAGGCATCCCAGATTGTATCTCGTGGTCGCTCCAAACAGGCTCCCCCTGCTCCTCTGTCCCCATCACCTGAGCCCTCAGCCAGGTGACCAAGTGAGGTGAATCAGCCCTGTCTTCTCTGTGCCGGGTGAGGGCAGTCTTCCTTTACCTTGATCYTAACCATGGTCACCTTGCCTCACCCACACGTGTGGCAGCTGGTCACAGCCTGAGAGAATGGGTGGGAAAGTGCTTTACTTGCTAATGGAAGGGTGTGGTCATTAGGAGAGTCCACTGCTGCGGGTTTCTTTGCACAGGCCTAGCCTCTGCCAAAGCCATAGCCTCCTGGTCCTTATAACAGCCCACAAGGAGGGTAATTAGTAACTGCTACCTTTATGCGAGWAAGGAAGAAATAGACCCGAGAGGTGAGTGACTTGTCCCAGGTCACTGCGTGTTTGTAYATCATCCTGCTGCTTCTCCCCCAATGGGAGGATCCACTAACTTGTGCTCCAGCTCACCTCCTTGCACTGTTCTCTCCTCTGCTGGAGATTATTACAGGCCTCTTAAGAGTGAGTGTTGAGCCGGGTGCCATGGCGTACTCCCAGCAGCCTGGGAGGCCAAGACAGGAGGGTCGTGAGTTCAAAGCCAGCCTCTCAGCAACTTAGCAAGGTCCTAAGCAACTCAGTGAGACCCTGTCTCTAAATAAAATATTTAAAAGGGCTGAGGATGTGTGGCTCAGTGTTTGGGTCCAATCCCCAGTACCAAAAAAAAAAAAAATGAGTGTCAATGTCTCACTGAGCCCTGGGAGTACTTCTTACAAACCCCGGCCACAACCTCAACACCTCGAGCACTGGACACGCAGCTGCGTGACTTTCTCCTGCCCACTCAGATGCCACATTTATTTAACAGCAAAGCGCTTGTGGTCAGTCTTGGTGGACTGCTTGTGCGCCACTTGGTGGGCMATCTGTCAGTCACCACCAAGCTCCTACTCGTCCTCAAGGACAGAAAGCGAGTGTCTCCTCTCTTGGAAGCCCTCCAGCACCCTCACACAGCCCAGAGTCCCCCGCTCGGACTCCACGGTCCTCTCAGCGCTGTGTCAGAGGAGCCATGGCTCCCCGACATCTGCTGTCCTCTTCATCTGTCAAGGAGCATCTCTGTCTTTTAACCGGGCATGTGCATGGCCAGAATAAAGATGGTGCTTCCCGGTCTCCCTACATACACGTATAGCCATGTAACCACCTCRGTGAGATGTAGGCAGAGGTACCATGTGGCAGTTTCTGGAAAACTTTCTTTAAAATCTAACTTGTGTAAACCCTTCATCTCTGTGTTCTTTACATCCTGCTGCCTGGAGTGGGAAAGTGGTAACTGGCACTCTAGCTGCCATCTTGGACCCTGAGAACGAACGTCCCATCTTAGGAAAAGTGGAGCAGTGAGCTGGAAGAAGTCAGAGTCCCCGAGGGTCAGCACAGTAGAAGTCCCACTGGAGGCCAGGACTTTATGGAGGAGATCAATTTCTACCTAGTTTGACCCATTATAATTCTGAGTCTCTGTCACTCACGTCCCAAACACGATCCTAATTTATTTCCCCTAAGGAATATGGGCTACCTTCTATGCTTAGTGTATTTTTCGACCTTCTCTAATCTCTGCTGCTAGACTGGGAGACATTCTGGGCAGGGACGAGGTTTATTGACGAGGTTTCAGTGATTGCCTGGTGCTAGGCTCATGAGCAGTGGCTCAAAGAAAAGCTGAGGGAAGGAGGCAGGTTGCAAGACTGCTAGGCCAGGGGGCGGTGCCCTGGGAGCCCCTCTGCCAGCCAGCGAGTGCTCCGTCTGAGTGACCTGGCTGAATCCTATGGAAACACCCACCACAGAGAGGCTCAAGGACTGGCCCAAGATCGGCAGTCTCAGAGCTGGGTCTGGAAGTCCACTCACCCTGTCCCCACCCCGTGTGCTCCCCGCTAGGCCTCCTCTCTCTGCCAGGATCRCCTGGATTGTCAAACTGGGCCTGAATGGTCCTCTTCTGTGTGTTCCTTGCTGAGAARGATGAGGAGTAGCTAAGAAGTCGCATTGTTCCCCTTGCTGCCAGTTTCCTAATGACGTTTTCTCCGTTCTCTCCTGGAGTCTTCTATCATACCTTCGACCAACGACAGAGTCTCCATGGCCAGGCTGAATTCAGGAGGGACCCTGCGAGCCCAGAGTGCTACGAGAGGTACGCGGACTTCCACAAAGAGAAATGGTGGCTTTTGACTTGGTTCTTATCTCCCAAACCCTAGTTTCTTGGGTCATTTTGAACACAGTTTGCTCTACCCTTGTGGCTCTAGCCTGGGCCTTGGCACCAAGCAGCCTTCATGAGAAGATATGGTTGTCTTTTTGGTTCAGTGAGCACTGATCAAGGAAAATGGTCAATCATATTTATTTTGTGTGGCCAGATAATTCCAGTTTCTGTTGCTTTTTCTTCAATCCCAGGTTTTCCCGAGCTCTCATTTTCCTCCCGTGTGAAAATAAAACTTCCACGAGAATTTCATTTAAAATAGGCCTCTTACCGTGGCCTGCCATCCCTTACTTTTCTTCCGTCTGAAAATGTCTTTTTTACACCTTCATTCTTGAAGATGTTTTCCTGGATGTGGAATTAAGGGTTGAGAGTTCTTTTCCCTTAGCACTTGGAGTTGTTGGTCCGGCTGGGGGCTTGGCACGAGGACCTTGGCATGAGCAAGGCCCTGAGCTCATTCCCCACCCGCCCCTGAGGTTCCTGATGAGAAATCCAGCCCGACGGCTCTTGTCCACTTTGGAGCCATGTCCCTCTCTCTCTGTCCTCAGGACCCCGCATGGTCTTTCAGCAGACTGATCAGGATGAAACCCTGTTCACATGACAGCACAGCTTCTTTGGGGCTTACTGAGTTTCTTTTTSTTTTCTTTTTAAGTTGTAGACGGACAGCATACCTTTGTTTTATTGGCTTATTTTTATGCGAYGCTGAGGATCCATCCCAGTTCCTCAGGTGGGCCTGACGCGCACTCTGCCCTGAGCTACAGCCCCAGCCCCATTACTGAGTTTCTTAAATCTATGTATTTTGCCCAATTTGGGACTTTTTCAGCTATTATTTTTCATTTTTTTTCTTTCTTTTTTCACTTTGGGACTCTGGTGACACAAACTCTGGACCTTTTCCTAGTGTCCCATAGGTCCCTGAGACTCCACTTTTTTTTCCTAATTTTTCCTTTAGGTTGTTGGGATTGTGTGGCATAATGATAAACTCTATGTGGCGTTTGTCCCAATTCCTGGCACAGAGCCCCTTAAGCCTTTGTAATTTCCAGAGTGAAAGAAGTGACTTGTTCATAATGGGTCTTTTTAAACCACACTGAACTCAGGCCAAATCTTAGGGTGCAGCCCCTAGGGAGCGTGAGGAAGGCCACTGGTCACCAGAAAGACAAATACGTCCGTCCTGGCCCCATCCCCAGCCTCCCAGGAGGAGAGGTCTGCCAGAAGTGGCTCACAACAGCTCCAGGACCACGGCGTTGGACAGCTCCAGGCTGTGCAAGTGTGTGTGTGTGTGTGTGTGTGTGTGTGTGCAGGGCAGCGGGCAGAAGAGGGCAGAGGAGCCCTGCGCTTCCAGCCCTGAGATGCCTCTGAGCTGGGAGATATGAAGGAGAAACAGATCCTTGTGGAACCAGGTTTGCATCTGGATTTCCTTCCAGTTTACCTGCTACTGTGCCTTTTTCAGAGTCCTCAGACAGCCGGGCCGGGCGTTCTGCGCAGGGCTTTTAGCTGCATTCACTGAGGAACAGAGTGGAATGCGCTTATTTCATCTTAACCTAAACCAGATTCCTAATTTTTTTCATTCTATTTTTCTTACTCCGCTTTATTCTGTTTTTTTTTTTTTTTTGAAAGTTCTATATTCTGTTTACATTCTTCATTGCAGTGGATCTCAAACAGAGACAGTTCCTTCCAAGGAACATTTAACAGGGTCTGGATATAGTCTTGGTTGCTGCCTCTCAGGGGCAAGGTGCTACTGGCATTTAGTGATTAGAGGTCAGGAATACTGATGACCACCCTCCAGAGACAGGACCTTCCCCACGACAGACAGCCCTCTGGCCCATGAGGTCAGTAGTGCTGAGGGTGAGGAAGTTGCTTTATTGTGAGCCTGTGAAATCCTAGCATGCATATTTAACTGTATTCAAAGTAAAATAATGACTTAGCCCAGTCCCTTTCCTGAACCAAACAAAGACCTCAGAGCCATGTAACCCACCCCTTCCTCACAGGCTGAATGCATTATCGTCCCCAACTCTCCCTCAGTGCTTTGGTCATTTTGCTCGACTCTTTTCCGGTTCCATTGCTATTGATGAGAACTCTGCAGTTGTTCTGATCACCTATTTAGAGATGATCTATTGTTTCTCTACTTATCTTTGAGATATTCTCTGTTCACCTTCTGTGCAAGAAAGCATAGTTTTGTGCCAAGGTTGGACCTTTTTTCTTCCTTTCTTCCTCTTGCTATWTAACTTTTTTTTTTCCTTCTCATTTTCTTCTAGTACTAGAGATAGAACCCAGAGCCTTGTGCTTGCCAGGCAAGCTCTCTGCCACTGAGCTACATCCCCTGTTCACTGCCTACCATTTTTTAAAGACTTTAGACCTGTCCTTCTTTATTCTGTGGCCACACAGTATCCTGTAGAGAATTCTATCATGACACCTGAGTTAGTGTTACATTGATTATTTACATGTCTTTTTCCCCCTCACTAAACTGGGAGATCCTTGAAGATAATCTATTTCTGGCACCCAGAAAGTGCCTGGTGCATACATAATTGGTATTCAATAAATACTTTCTGGATGGACGGATGGATGAAAGAATGGACAGATATTAGATGGGTAAATGGATAAACACATGGCCTGCAGGTGTGTATCTGGCTAAAAAGCAAGTCACACAAAACGCATTCACTATAGCTGCATCCACCAGAGTCTCTTTAATGATTCGAATCCCTAGGCATATCCCCTTTACGGGGAAGCTGAGACCTAGTCCACGCTCTGCATAGGAGCCAGCAAGCTTCAGTGATCATTCTTTTGCTGTATCACATTGACAGAGCATCGTCCCACCCTGGTCTTGAGGAAAGCCACACCACTGGTCAAGAGGATATCAGAAGCAAGAGAAAGTGCAAATCTGCTCACTAAAGAGGTAAGCAACCTGACTGGCAGAGTGATTTAAAAGGGGGGTCAGAGATGGGCTAGAACACCTAGCTTCATGACAATGTCAGGCTAAGAACTGGGGTAGTTCTGATTTTAACTCACGCGCTACATTCAGGAAGTCTCCTAAGGGCAATTCCAACAATGACAGAGCATTTTTTGTTTGGATTTCTTAGGGATTCAAACCACCTGCTAGAAACTCAGGAACCTGTGTATAGTGGAAGGAGAGCACTGAGCCCCAGTTTCCTACTTTACAAAAAGGGACACCCACTCAGAGAGATCCTGGTGTTCTTATGAGGCTTACCTGAGGTCATGATGACAATTAATATTTAATGAACACTTATTGTGTGTTGGGCACTATGCTAAGTCTTTTTTTTTTTTTTTTTTTTTTTTTTTTAAAGAGAGAGTGAGAGAGGAGAGAGAGAGAGAGAGAGAGAATTTTTAATATTTATTTTTTAGTTTTCGGTGGACACAGCATCTTTGTTTGTACATGGTGCTGAGAATCGAACCCGGGCCGCACGCATGCCAGGCGAGCGCGCTACCACTTGAGCCACCTCCCCAGCCCCGAGCCAAGATTTTTTAAAAGATGAAGTTCATATGCCAAAAAGTTTTGAATGAATGAATGAATGAATGAATGAATTTCTGCAGTGCTGGGGATCAAACCCAGGGCCTCACATGTGCCAGGCAAATGCTCCACCACTAAGTCATACCCCAAGCAGTGTATAAGAGGTGGTTCATTCACAGAATTGGGCAGTCATCACCACTAATTCCAGAACATTTTATCACCCAAAAAAGAAACCTCACACTCCTTAGCAGTCATATCCTAGTCCTCTCCCCAGCCCCCAGAAAYCCACCAATTCACTTTTGGTCTTGTGGATTTGCCTATTCTGGACATTCCATATAAATGAAATTATGTAATATGTGGCCTCTCGGGACTGGCTTCTCACCCTCTGGTTTGTCTGTGCTGTAGTACAAAAGTACTTCATTTCTTTTTATGGTAAACTATTTCACTACATGAGAACACCTCATTTTTTTTTATTCATTTACCAACTGATGGACATCACTTCACTTTTGGCTCRTGGATAATGCTGTGTCTGTGAACACTCATGGAGTTGTTATGTGGACAGGTCTTCTGTTTTCTCTGGTGTACACCTAGAAGGGGGGTTGCTATGTCTGTGTCTAACTTTTTGAGCTCTGTCTGTTTTCCGTAGCATTCTGCCATTCTCCATTCCTACCCGGAGTGAGCATGCTGGTTTCTCCACATTCTCACCAATRTTTATTTCATTTATTTGATTGTGAGTGGAAAGGGGGTCTCTCATTTGACTAGCTTTGCTCAATGACTAATGGTATAGAGCTCCTTCTGTGCTTATCAGCCACTTGTGCATCACTTTTGGAGAAATGTCTATTCAAATCCTTTTYCCTTTTCTTAAAAATATTTTTTAGTTGCAGTTGGACACAGTATCTTTATTTTATTTATTTTTATGTGGTGCTGAGGATCGAACCCAGGGCCTTGAACTTGCTAGGCAAGTGCTCTACCGCCAAGCCACAATCCCATCCCCTCGTCCCTGTTCTTAACTCCTGCTCCACTTGGGCTGCACAGCTGCACCTGGCTCACATCCGCTTCAGGGTTCTCTGCCTAGAATGTCCAGGATCCTTCCCCAGCTCCCTGTCCTCACCTAGGTTCAGCCTGCTAGGATCTGACCTGGAGGCAGCCCTCCCTGACACCCCCTGGAAAGTGGTCCCCTCAGCCTCCACTCTTCACCCCTTGACCTCCTTGCTGCTCTTGGTCACAGCSGTGTTGTCCTTCCAGTTGTTGGTTTAGCCTTTGTTTTCCTAGGAATTGTCTTGTTCTCTGCTGAGTCTCCAGTGCCTAAAATGATGTGCAGACCTAGCAGTCAATAAATATTTGCTAAATGAATTGTTCACATTTTGGTAAATATCTTTCCAGTATCATCCATCTTTTATTTTTACTGATTTATTTAATATAATTATATTTATTATAATTATATTTATTATCCTGTTTTGCATCTCAATTTTAAAAATTTTACTGTTATACCTGAAATACTTTAGGTTATCAACTCTTCATAAACTTTTTTTTTCCTTTTTATAGTGCTTAGGATGCAACCCAGAACCTCACATGCTAGGCACGCACTCTACCTTAACCTAGGTCCCAGCCCCATAAGCATTTTAAAAGTGATCTGCTGTTCCTTTGGGTGGAGATATCACCTTCTTCTCCTTAACATTTAGCCTATTCTGAAATGTCTGCTGCGTTTGGTGACCATCTCTGCAGCAGACATCTTAGTGCCTGAAGCTTTTCTCTTTACCTTGGTTATTTCCTTAGGCTGCATTTTAAAGCTGGAGTTATGGGATGGGAGGATGGGAGTGCCTTCACGTTTCTTAATATGTGCTGTGAAGATGGCAGTATGCTTTATCTTTCCCTCTTTCTTTCCCCTCAGTCTCACCCTGCCTGCAGAAAGCCCGAGCCATCAGCAAACCTCTTCAACGTCTACGGGAAGAGCCCCCTGATCGTCTACTTCATCCACCGCTACCTCACCCTGCCGCAGGCCGGCCAGGACGTGTTGGTAGTGAGGAGGGAAAATACCACGGTCATCCCATATCCTTGTGGCTGTAGGCAGGGCACAGGTTGCTCCAGGCAACCTCTTCCAGAAAGTAGGGGTCAGCAAGAAGTCCTCAGGCTGTCACTCAGAGCCTGGCACAAGGTGGGTGCTGGCCAGGGGTAGCATGACAGGAGCCTCAGTCTCAGGGTCCCCCTCATCCTAATTCCAGGTCTGGAGCCACCTCCTGAGCTGGCAGGGTAACCCCAAGCAAGCTGAACTTCCCTGTGTGCAAGATCTTTCTTTTTCCCCACTTACCGGAATGAATAGGCTGATAGTCCTTATTTTCGGAAGCTTAGTTTAGGAAGCTCAATGTCTTAATCTACTCATTCCTAAACTAAGTATAGTTATACCAAACTAATAGTGTCATGATTAAATGGCACATGGGCCGTTTAGAATTGGTTCCAGAGACCAGGTCTGTTTGGACCAATAGACCTATGTCATTCCAAACAGAACCCAAGTTCTGATCCCCATGGTAAACTGCCAAGACTCAGCACCCCAACACATGCCATACCTGTTTTCTTGAGATCTGAAATTTTTACCAAATCTTTAGGATAAATAGAAAAAGGGCCAGGAATTTGTTGGTGGCCTTGGGGAAAGGGTAGGTATGTTAGATGAAACCCTCACACCGACACCGAAATTGCTGATCAGTGCTGTTGGTCCTAACCCTCATCATAACCCTCATCATTATTATTAACATCATCTAGAGTAGGTATTATTATCCCTATTTTACAGCTTAGGAAATGGAGACATAGAGGATGACTTTTAGTTTGTCTGAGGCTTGTGACAAGCATAGCTTAGATTCCATCCAATCAAGAAGAGGTGGAGCCCTGTAACCCCAGCAGCTCGGGAGGCTGAGACAGGAGAATCAAGAGTTCAAAGCCAGCCTCAGCAAAAAGCAAAGCCCTAAGCAACTCAGTGAGACCCTGTCTCTAAATAAAATACGGAACAGGGAGTTCAATCCCCAGTACCAAAAAAAAAGAAGGTATGGAGGGCTGGGCGTGTGGCTCAGCAGGAGTACCTGAACATGCAGGACACCTCCCATCCCCAACACGGCCCCCACACCCCCCCAAAAAAAGAAGGAGGGATGGAGGAGGGCTGGGGATGAGCCCTGGGTTTAATCCTCAACGTCACAGAAAAGAGTGGGCCTGGAGGGCATGTGGAGCAGAGAGGCCCTTCAGCATGCGACAGGAGGTGGAGCATGGAGCCGTGGCCAGAGGGAGAGGAAGGCCTGRGCCCTTCCTGTCCACCAGATGAGCACATTGAGGACCCCAGGTGGCCTAAGAAGTGCTGCCTCCCCCTTTCCTCAACAGGACAGAGAGGACYGGCGCCAAGGCGAGAGCTGAGGAGAGCCTCTTCCTTCCAGCAGACCATGGCCGCAAGTCCTCTGCTCAGACGCCAGCTGTCCTGTCCAGAGCCCAGGTGTTCCCCGGCTCTGCCATCCCAGCTGCCTCACCCCACACATCAGGCTCAAACCTCTAAAAATGCAAGACACAAACACAGTCCAACAGCACGGGGTCTTCCTTGACCATAAAAACCACTGAGTCCACCCCGACGTACGCCGATGTCATCAACTTGACTCTGAAAAACATGAAGACGCGAAAGGAAAAACTCAGCAAGCTGATTGCGTTTCACACGAAGGAATGGGATTCTTTCGATAGTTACCTAAATGAACTGCAGGACAACTTCTTGAGGTATTGGAGGGGCTTCTGGGCGGCTCACGGGTCCAGCCCTTGTCCCTTGCAGCACATCATGTTTTCCCAGGGGCAGGGCTGGCTTTCTCCCCGGTGCGAGCCTCCTCAGCTCTCCTGGGGTAGAATGGGAACTCCTCAGCTGCAGAGACTTTGAAAAGTTTCCTTGGGGCTTGGCGCAGACACACTTAATCATGACAGGCTCGTGACAGACATCCCCTCTCRCGCTGAGTTCAGAAGTCTCAAGCCTTAGGCTTTACGTCCAGCAGGTGCCCACTCGCTCAGACCGCGGTGACCAGGTGGGGAACAAGGCAGGCTTCCCCTGGTGTGGAGCGGACGCCCGGCTGAGGAGAGGTCGCAGGGAGAAGGTGCGGCTCTCACCAGGGTGGAGTTTGGAGCTGGGAGGATCCCGCAGAGGCTCGGGAAGGATGACAAGTGATGGGACGTCAGGTCCTCCTCAGGTCTCCAGCTCCAGTGCACCCTTGTTTCCKCGGGCTGRATCCCTGCTCATCAGCACTTTCACCGTTAAATACCCCTGCTCTTTGTTGGACAAGGTGTAGCTCAGGATAAAGCCCAGTGCGCTTTGTATTGATAAAGTGATGCTCAAAGTTTTGCCTGCAGATACACAGTGGTCACCTTAAAACACATCTGTGTCACTAGACTCAGGGCACAGGGACCCTTGGGGGGGCTTGGGGAAAGATCCCCGTTGTTGGAATTGCCACTGGTTTARGCCAAGTTCAACGCGAGCTTCTTAATACCAGTCTGTAATTTGAGCCTCATGGTCCTTGAGTACCGGACCCCTCTTCCCCCTGGAGCCCGGGGTCTGGTATCGGTGACTGGGTCACTGCTGTGCTCATCCCGGTTCAGCAGGCTAAGGAGCTTGTAAGTATTTGCCCAGAGACCACACGCCTGTTTCCCCTCAGCCATGTGTGTGTTATTTCCCTGCAGGGAGGTGACAAACATCGATAAAAAAGAAGCAGAGAAGAAAAAGGCCTCCGCCTTCCTCCCACCTGCGCCCGGCTGCCGCCCCCAGGAGCCGCGGAGGAGACTCAGGAGCGTTCTCAAGGAAGACGAGTTTCTTTTAAGGTTTGTTCAAACGAAAACTGTGGGGAAAGTGCAGGAATTCTCAGTGAGGGAAAGAGCACATAAAAGTTCACTTTCTTTTATGTTTTATTCACTCAAGAGTGATTTTTTTTTTTTTTTTAGTGGTAGTAGTGATGGTAAAAGCTACCAATGGTTTTGCGTTTCTGTGTGAGCACTGGCTGTTTATTACTTCATGAACTGCTTTCTTGTTCTTTTTTCCTGCACTGGGGGCGGAATCCAGGTGTGTTCTAGGACACCAGCCTTTTTATATTGAGACAGGACCTTGTTCAATTGCTGAGTCTGGCCTCAGACATGATCCTCCTGCCTCAGCCTCCTCAGTTGCTGGGGTGGCAGTGTGCACTGCTGTGCCTGGTTTTGTACTTTATGAACTGTGTGGATCAGAGCTCTTTGGTCACAAATGCCAGGAAGCCGGCTCCAAGCAGCCTACACAGCACATTCCACCCAAGGGGGCTCCGCGACATTTTCAGGAGCTGCGTCCTTGACTCTCTCAACCTCCTCCCTCTGTGTGCTGACTTTTTTTTCAAGCTGCCTCTGACAGGCACCAGGCCCCTGGACCTCCTGACAGCGCCTGGCCCACAGTGAGGAGAGCCATCCTCTTGGCCTCACAGGCCGAGCCTCACTGAGGTCTGAGGCCCTGCACATCCCTTTGGAAAGCAGTGCTATAATTAGCCGGACCTGCTGTCCCTGTGACCTAGAGTGCAGTGCACAGTCAATGACACGGGGTAGAATGGGTGACCAAGACAACTTGCCCATTTTATTTTACTTATAGCTCCTCAAAATRCTATTTGATGCTATCACCCCCATTTTACTGAATAGGAAATTGAGGCCCAGAGAAGCCAAGAAAAACTTCAGGGAGGACCAGCATGCCAGGTTCCAAGGATAYAAAGACATAAATAAGTTCAAGTCCTTGACCTCAAGGGCTCCCATTCTAGAAGGGGGCGCAAAGCTGTGAATAATTAACATGAGGTACAAATGCGAAAGTCCCAGGCAGTCCCAGGCAGTCCCAGGCAGTCCCAGGCAGCCCCAGGAAGCCCCAGGAAGTCCCAGGAAGTCCCAGGCAGTCCCAGGCAGTCCCAGGAAGTCCCCGGTGTTCTGCACAGAGTGGGCGGGGCAGATCTTTGCTCATCAGGGGGCAGTTTGAGGAGCTCGCCCCTGGGTGTGGCTGATGGAAGGACAGGAGGGAATGAAGGGCAGCAGGAGGCGTCCTAGGCCACACCCTCTGGAGTCCCCCTGCCTGGAGCCCCTGGGCAGCCTTCCAAGAGCTCTAACAGGAGCAGCAGTCAGATCCACATTTTGTTTTTGTCAAATAAACACRTGCAGGTGGACTCTAAGAATCAAGCAATCCTGTCCAGCTTCTGAGGCCCAACAGCACCCCTGCCCTCCCCTTCCCGCCACCCTCCCCACCGTGATTTCCACCCCTTGGCCGCTTTTCTGGGATTCACCTCTGTTGTCTAAATAACATGCTTACACATGTGGTTTGTGTTTCCTTTTTCATTTTAGGCCTTATCTCTAGATATTTTTTGTTTTGCTAAAAGCTATCAAAAGCCAAGCAAGGCTATTTTCCACGTTCTCAGACGCATCCTGTGTGCCACAGGCCTGTTCCTTGATTCAGTGGGTCCCACAGTTCTCAGGTCCTGACCTCCTCCAGGCGGCCTGTGGCTGCAGGTGAACTCCAGCCGACCACTGGGGACTCTCCCTCACCTGCCACTCCCCCCCACCCCCCATCAATTTGACCTGTTGGGGTCACTGTTTTCAGGTCCCACGTCTGTCTAGTAGCTCCTGAAGAGAAAGTATGCCATTTTCCCCGTCTCTCAAGTCCAATGCGTGTTTTTTCCTTAATTAATAAGTCCAATGCATGTTTTTTCCTTAATTAATAATTGTTGACGGGCCGGGGTGGTGGCTCAGCAGTAGAGCGCTCGCCTGGCACGCACGAGACCCTGGGTCAGATCCTCAGCACCACATAAAAATAAATAAAGGCATTGTATCCAACTATGACTAAATAAAAAAATAAAATAAAATATTAAAAAATAATCGTTAACTATTTTGCTGGGAATAAAATTCTAAAATGCAAATCTACTTGCCACAGCATTTTGACCTTTCCTCCCACCTCCTACTTGTGCTGTGGGGAAGTCTGACGCCACTCTGATTCCTATGGATTTTATGTCACCTCCCCACCCCCGAGGGAGCTCTGAGGATGTCATCTCTGTCCCTAGCAGGTGAGGTTTCACAGTGACCAGACCTGGCACGAACCTCTTTCTTGGTGTGCCAGTGGGGTTCTGGAAGGCTGTGTCCTTCAAGTCTGCGAAATTTTCTTTTATCATTTCTTTGATAGTGTCCTTCCCTTCATTTTCCTAGTTCTGTTTTTCTGGAACTAAGCAGGACTCATGAAATGGRTTCTGAAGTACTTCTCTTCTATTTTTTGAAAATTGGTGTTAATTCGTCTCTGGTAGAATCCACCAGTGAAGTCACATGATCCTGGACTTTTCTTTTTTGGAAGGTTTTGTTACCGGTTCAATCCTCTTTCTTATAACTCTATACAGAATTTTTATTTTTTTCTTGAGTCACTTTTGGAAGTTTGTATGTTTCTGGGAATTTTTCATTTCATTTGAGTTTACTTATTAACATTCATATTCTCTTATAAACTGATTTATTTTTGTAAGATCAGGGTAATGTTCCTCTTTTTATTTCTGAATTTTCTTATTCCTTCACCTCCTCCTCCTTTTTGTAATCAGTTGAACCAAAGGTTTGTTAATTCTGTTGGTCTTTGAAAATAACTAGCATTTTGTTTAATCAACCCTATTTTTTGAAGGGGGTACTTGGGATTGGACTCAGGGGCACTGGACCACTGAGCCGCATCCCCAGCCCTGTTGTGTATTTTATTTAGAGACAGGGTCTCACTGAGTTGCTTGAGCTCACAGTCCTCCTGCCTCAGCCTCCTGAGGCCCTGGGATCACAGGCATGCACCACATAGTACAATACATACTATTTTTTAAATTCTCTATTCACCTTCTTGGCACTACTCTTTATCAGCTCCTTCCTTCTGGTAGCTTTGGGTTTGGTTTACTCTTCTTTTCTAGTCCTTGAATGAAGTTGTTGTTGAGATCTCTCTATTTCACAAAATGTGGCTATGAATTTCCCTCCAACTCTTCCCTCCAACTTGACCATCCTTCAGCCATTTCTTCACCTGGTCCTCAAACCAGCTGAGCCACCAGCACTGTTTTTGCTTCAGACCATAAATTTTGTTGTGTTGTGTTGTTTTCAACTCAAAATACTTTTAAATTTGTTTTGTGATTTCTCTTTTGAGTCTCAGCATGTTCTGTAGAAAGGAGGGCAGTGAGCCCAATAAGAACGGTGCTTTCGTCAACTACTAAAGGCAGGCCTCAGGGCTCCTGGGGACAGTCCCCATCCTGTAGCCCAGCAAGTAACATTCTGAAGATCCACACCTGGAGCTGCAGGGTGGATGCAGAGCAGCAGCSAGCAGTACAGGTTTTCAGCTGCACCCGCGCATGTCACCGCCAACAGGTGCAGGACCCGCCCCTGGCTGTGGCTGGGGCAGCTTTCCCATCCCCTCAGAGAGATGCCTCCTGCCCATTCAGTCAGTCTCTGTCACTGCCTCCGTCCCTGGGACCCTCCTTAGAGATACCAGGTAACATYACCACTTCGTTCCAGCGGCCAGCAGTCAGTCACATGGTGATAGCTGCAAGAGAGGCTGGAAAAGTAGGGTTTTTGTTTTAGGTTGTTTTTTTTTTTTCCAGCTTAAAAAAAAATCTGGACCCATTGCCATCTCAAAAACTGCCTTGTTTGCTAAAGAAAAGAGGGAGAGTGAGCTGGTGCACACCTGGTTCCAGTTACTTTGGGAGGCCCAGGCAGGAGGATCACAAATTCTAGGCCAGTCCRTGCAACTTAGTAAGATTGTGTCTCAAAGTAAAGTTTGAAAAGGGGCTGGGGATGTGGCTCAGTGGTCGAGCACCTCTGGTTCAATCTGTAGTACCATAAAACAGAAAAGAAAGAGAAAGGGGAGTCTGGCCAGTGGGTTGGTAACCATCTCCGTCACCAGTAGATGGTGTTATACTGTCCGTTTTTTTTTTTTTTCTTTTTTTTTTTTTTTTTTTAGAGAGAGTGAGAGAGGAGAGAGAATTTTTTTAATATTTATTTTTTAGTTCTCGGCGGACACAACATCTTTGTTGGCACGTGGTGCTGAGGATCGAACCCGGGCCGCACGCATGCCAGGCGAGCGCGCCACCGCTGAGCCACATCCCCAGCCCCTATACTGTCCGTTTTTGAGATGAAGAATCAAAACTTAACAGGGTTAAAAATCTTGCCCATGGAAACCTTCTAATCCTAAACCTTCCATTTTTTTTTTCCCTCTGAACTGAGCAAAGACCACAATTTTTTCTTTATTAGAGCAGGTTAACTTGAGTCAAGGAATCTTACAGGGTTGGCAGTGGATCATTAAAAACAGATCTTCTGGGACTGGGGACATAGCTCAGTAGGTAGGGTGCTTACCTTGCATGCACAGGCCCTGGGTTCAATCTCCAGCAGCACACACACACACACACACACAAAAAAAACAGACTTTCTATTATCCATTTTAGATTCTCGGAAACAGAAAAGTCAACTAATTCACCAATATTATTGCTCTTCCCTCCAACTTGACCATCCTTCAGCCATTTCTTCACCTGGCCCTCAAACCAGCTGAGCCACCCCCTCCTCCGGGAAGTTCCCTGACCACCTACTCGGTGGCCCATTATATCCCCTGTGCTCTCCTGAAATGTTCTGCTCTAGTCATAGATTTGCTCGCCCACCTCTTGTGGGATTGTCATTAAGGTCAGGAACCTCGTCCTGGATGCCCCTGTCTCTCCAGGGCCTAGGCCAGGGCCTGGCACTCCTAGAAGCAGGAYGAGGGGCACTGGGTATTGCTCAGAGCACGTTAGTTATTTTCTTCTGCCACCATCATTGACAGATCTGCAAACTTTTTCTCTCAGCACTATCAAGATTCCAGCGAACCCTTTGGAGAAGTCACAGTGAATTTCTTAACCAGTTTTTGTCGATGTCTTGTTTTCCCACAGGAGGGAAAGAGAAGAGAAGCTGAAGTTTAACCACTCTCCTCTCTTATTTCCAAGTCCGGAGGACCCGTATCCCCTGGAAGTAGGAAATCCCTACAGTGCCCAAGATATTTCTGCTAACAGGTGGGTTGGAGCGTGAGGAAGAAGACTCTGTGCCCAAAGACCGAGAAATGGAAATCCCTGCCCTCCACATTGTAGTTTTTCCTGGGCCAAGAGGAGAGCAAAAGGGGGCATTGGATGCACGGGGCACCGCGTTTATTCATTATTTTATTTAAAATGTTACATGTGGCAGTGTCCCTCGGAGCGCGCCAGGCTGGGTGCAACTCGGGGGTAGAGCGCTTGCCCAGCCCGCCCGGCCTGGGAGTCCCTGGGTTCAACCTCCAGATGAAAACAGCCCCACAGGGTGTGATGACCTCAGCTCCTTTATCATCTTCCAAGCCGCAGCCTGGTGCGGACACCTGGTGTGGAGGTSGACCTCTCCTGAGGCAGGTGGCCTCCGAGGCACTTCCCGCAGCACAAACCCAGGCCGAGAGGGGTCCTGCAGGTTCCCTGCTGTAGACAGTGGGGACTAGGGAGCGGTTAAGGTCATCCTGCTCCCCAGGGGCTGGTGGCGGGAAGGCAGGTGTATCAACAAGTGAAAGGCCAAGGACCCAGGAAGGGAGGCGGCGGTGGGCAGCTGGGAACAGATCAGAGGCCCAGGAGCCAAGCAGAAGCCATTGAAGGGGTGATGTCTAGGACAGAGGGAAGGTGTGGGTGGGGCTGAAGGAGAGCCTGAGGGAAGGGGGCGGGCAGAGCAGGGCAGGGGGCAGCTGGGAGGAGGCCAGCTGCTGGGTGAGGAACTGCCAAGGGGCATGGCCATGAGGGTTTCCAAGTGTGGGGAGCCTCTGGAAGGTGACAGGTGGGAATCTTGTGGTCAGATTTAGCTTTTTGTTGTTACTGGGGATTGAACCCAGGGGCATTTAACCACTGAGCCACATGCCCAGCCCTATTATTATTATTATTATTATTATTATTATTATTATTATTATTTTGAGACAGAGTTTCACTGAATTGCTTAGGGCCTCACGAACTTGCTGAAGCTGGCTTTGAACTCATGATCCTCCCATCTCAGTCTCCTGAGTCCCTGGGACAAATCTGGCTTTTGGAAAGTCCTGAAGGTAACTGGGCATGGTGGTGCACACCTATGATCCCAGCCCCTCAGGAGGCTGAGGCAGGAGGATTGCTAGCCTCAGCAATTTAACAAAGCCCTAAGCAACTTGCCAAGACCCTGTCTCTAAACAATTTTAAAGGCTGGGGATGTGGCCCAGTGGTTAAGTGTCTCTGGGTTCAGTCCCTGGAACTCTCCCCTCTCCCCGCCAAAAAAAGGATGCTGAAGCGGGGAGTTCATATGTATGTTTTGGGAACTTGTGAAATCTCCCACAATATTTACCTTCACGGGATTCCTGGTCTGTGTCTCTCAGTCAGGAATACTCAGGCTTTCTTGCTCTTGTGTCCCTCAGTCCCTAAATATATTAATTATTAAGAGAGCGTATACCGGGRTTGGGACGGTAGTTTAGTGGTAGAGCACTTGCCTAGCACCTATGAGGTACTTAGCACCACATAAAAAAATAAACACACAAAGGTAGTGTCCATTATAACTAAAAAAAATTTTTAACAGAGAGCATATATAATTATTTCTATACTAATACACTGTGTATGCTATAAAACATACAGAAATTTAGAAAATTAAAAGGGTGATTTAAAAATAGGCAAGGAAAAGGGTCAGTTTCTTCCCCCAACAACTCAATGGCTCCACCTTGTGGGTGGAGCGGCTGCTTTGCCTGAGCCCCAATTAAAACAAGCAGGGAAAGGGCTTCCTTTTGGGTTCTCCCACAGAAAAAGGTGGAGCTGAGGAAGCTTTGACTCTAAAAGGCCCTAAGGCTTGACTCCCTGCCCCACCCTTTATTTGCCCCAYGACTTGAGGACAAATTTTCTAAGTTTTTTGTTTGGACTTGTTTCCTGTGGATAGAGTCTTACCTAGGCCTGGCAATGATCAGCATTACATGGGCTGGGGATGTGGCTCAAGYGGTAGCGCGCTCGCCTGGCATGCGTGCGGCCCGGGTTCGATCCTCAGCACCACATACCAACAAAGATGTTGTGTCCGCCGAGAACTAAAAAATAAATATTGAAAATTCTCTCACTCTCTCTAAAAATAAAAAATAAAAATAAAAAATAAATCAGCCCTTTCATAAGAAAAAAAAAGAGCGAGCACCCTGACTCACTGAGGACTGGTGACCCAGACCTTTTGTAGGAAGTCAGAGTCCAGCGTCTGCTCTTCGCACAGTGAATACTGGGGGGAAACTGAAGGGAAGCGACCTTGCCCTGAGCTGCTGAACTCTCACAAGGGGCCTGTGAGGCGAGCCTGTCTTCTCCTGTCCCTGTCTCAGGGGATCTGAGACTTGTGGTGGTCCAGACCCAGGCTCCTCCTAGGTCTCCCAGGGTCAAAAGAGGTCCTCCCAAAATGCCCATCTCAGCCTGGGGCAGTACCCCCTGCAGCCCCAGCCACTGGGAGGTTGAGGCAGGAGGATCGCTGGAGCCCAATCCAGAGCCAGACCCCAAGACCTTCTCTCAAAAGCAAGGAAACAAAAACAAACCAAAATCCATATCTAATCCYTCTACTCCTCTACTTAAAACCCAGCCTGTCCCCATTCCTCTCAGGACCCTAATGACAAAATCCACACTCTTCATGAGGGGCCCCTGCCCTCCTCTCCTTCCTCGCCTCAGCTGTCTCTGCCCAGGGCCTCTGGGCCTGCAGCTCCTGCTTCTTCAGAGAGTGCTGAGGTCTCCTCCAGGTGACCCTCCCTGACAGGTGTCGGACCTCCTCTGAGCTCCCAGGAGTCCTTGCTCCTTCCCCTCCCTTGACTGACTCCTTCCCAATGCTGGAAGCCCAGCTCAGGCAACACCTCCTCCAGGAAGCCCATCCAGACGCCTGTTCTGTGCTCTGCATTTCCTGCACTTGCCCCACAGAATATATCTGACTGCAGTTGTGGAGCTGTCTGTCGCCTCTCTGTATAGTGAGTCTCTCAACCTCTGGGACTTTGTCTCATCCCAGGGCAAGTCCCCGATGCCCACTTCTGTGGCTGGCACCAGAAGGGATCCAGGAATTCTTAGTGAAGAAATTCTCAGTTGCTGTGTGCTTAGCCTTCCACTTCCTTTAATTGCTTATAGAAAAAAAAATAATGTTACATTTTAGAATGTTGCCTCTCTGTGCTTACATGTGAAGTTAGGAATGAATCCTCTTAAAAGATCACACTGATTTTTAAATTTTTAAAGTTTATTTTTAAAAATATTTTTATTAGTTGGTGGACCRTTATTTTACTTATTTATATGCAGTGCTGAGTATGCAACCCAGTGCCTCACACATGCTAGGCAAGTGCTGTACCACTGAGCCATACCCCAACCCTCATTCTGGCTTTTTAATCCATTTGTCTGTCTTTATGTTCCTSTACAGAGAGGCAGAAATCCCCAAGAGGTCAAAAACAGTGCCAAAAAATGAACTAGTCATCCTCAGCCTCTCTCCTTACAGTTCAAGGGAATCGAGCCCAAGAATGGAGAAAATCTTTACGGGTGAAGGCTGCTGAATTCCGTCTAGACAAGAAACRGCGAAACAGAAACTAGCACTGTAATTTGGGACACGTCAATCATTCCCAATCCACCAAAGAATAACATTAAAGTTCACTCCTACTGTGGGCTGAAGTCAGGATTTAAGTGGAAGTTAATTCACCTCCTTCATTTAGACATGTATTTACTACTGCTTTCATTTATCTATGTTTTAATARTAGTTGAAGGAACAGGTGTCATCATATAACAGTAAGTGAGCACCACCCCTGCGCAGTGCTCCCCAGTCCTCTGTGAACATTCTCTCAGTCTCCCCTCCTGGCAGCACTCGAGGTGGGTGCTGCCACCTCTCCCCCTCTCCCAGGAGGAACCGGGGCTTGGAGGGCTTGAGGCAGTGCGCTAAGTGTCTGTTCTGTGCCCTCCCCGCACTGGGCCCTGGGAATACTGAGGAAGAGAGGCGCAGTCCAACTGCAGAGTGCTGCCAATCAGGAGGAGGACGAAGGATGTGAAAGCCAATAAATACATAATGCTTTCAGAGAGAGAAAAATAAAGATAAAATAGGATGGGAGGCAGGGAAAGAGGGGAGAAGAACTAGGGAATGACAGTGGCCAAATTATATTGTGTGCGCATAACGAATATGTRACACCAAATCCCATCGTTGTGCACAACTATAATGCACCAATAAAAATGTGCAGGGAAAAAAAAAACCTCTTGCCTAATAAATGGGGCTCAAAAGGGAAGGGATAAACACAGCCTAATTCCCCCTTAAGATTGGGAGCCATCTCGCCACAAAGGCATAAAAAGCTAATTTCGGCTTTACTATAAATTCCTGCGATTTCTGCACTTGCTCGGAATGCCTGCCCGGGCCTTGGACTCACCCGTGCCTGGCTCTCCCTGACCAGATAGCAGCCCTCTCTGAAACTCTAATGACCCCATAAATTTTGATGTCAGGGGCAGCTAAAATATCAACTAGCCTTTGTGCTATGCTTGTCAAAATGTTGTTATCTGTAAGTTCTCAAACCCCCTGTGTGTAACTTTCCGGGGTATAAAGCTGTGCTCCTGGAGGGCTGCGGGGCTGTCTTCGGTTCCCACGGKTTTCGGGAGAGGCAGCCCGGCCGGTCGGAAGTACAAGCTTGCTTTAATTTKATTTCAGTTGGAGTCGGTGGTCTTTTCTTTGCTTCGTGGTCTAACAGAGGATGGAAGGGATTACAGAGAGATCTAGGGGAACTTGGGGTGAGGGAAACGCCCCATCACAGTGAAGGCTCTTGGACTTATATACCCCGTGTACTTTAAGTGCTTTCTCATATATAAATTATACTTCCATAAAGATGTTGTTTTTCTCTCTCCCTCTCGTACACACCGTAGTTCCCAAGTCTGTCCATTGAAATGGCACTCAAAGGATCCCAAGATCCTTGAGAGAATGATGGCTCCACATCCAGGACAGGAGGGCCATGGGATGAACCTGGAAGTCTTACCACACTGGACTCTGACAAAGAGTCCTGTCAGAAATATGCAGGAGCCATTTTAAAGAGGGTCCCATGTGCTAAATGATGGGACCATTTAGGCACTAGTATTACTACGACTAGCCATAGACTGAAGTACGTCAAACATGTTTCACAAAGTTTATGTTGTTGCCTTAAAGAAACTAATATAGGTCACCATTGAAGGATATTAGGAAATCAAATTGTTATTTTGAAAACTGGTAACTACAGGGAACGTGTGAGCATTTATCATGCCAGTACCACATAAACCACGTCACCAGGTAACCAGAGAGAGGGTGAGGGAAAGTTTTCTCTTTAGAAACATTCCAGTTAATAAATTGAGAAAGAATGATAGAATTAAATTATCATCATTTTGTAACCTAGTGGGTTAATGGATCTAGGCTGG